CAGAACAATTTACTACCATTTGTAGTGGATCCCATCCCTGACAACTTTTAAAGTAACTGTGACGGGTTGGATCACAGAAACCCCCTTGGGAGCTGCCACCCGATGTGCAAAGACTACCCCTGCTCCTGTTTTCCCTGCCAGCTCAGGACTCCAGCACCCTGTCTTGCTGAGCCAGACACTCCAGTCTGCTCCAACACAGACCCAGGGTCTGAATCACTTGTCCCAAAGCTGCAAGTTTACCTGAAAACAGCTCACAGAAGTGTGCTTGTCTTTAGCACTCAGATGCCCAACTCCCAATGGGGTCTAAACCCAAATAAATCCGTTTTACCCTGCATAAAGCTTATGCAGGGCAAACCCAGAAATTGTTCGCCCTCTATAACACTGATAGAGAGATATGCACAGTTGTTTGCTCCCCCAGGTATTAATACATACTCTGAGTAAATTACTAAATAAAAAGTGATTTTATTAAATACAGATAGTAGGATTTAAGTGGTTCCAAGTAGTAACAGACAGAACAAAGTAAGTCACCAAGCAAAATAAAATAAAATGCGCAAATCTATGCCTAATCAAACTGAATACAGATAATCTCACCCTCAGAGATGCTTCGGTAAGTTTTTTCTCAGACTGGACACCTTCCAGGCCTGGGCACAATTCTTTCCCCTGGTACAGCTCTTGTTGCAGCTCAGGTGATAGCTAGGGGATTCTCCATGATGGCTCCTCTCTCCTCTTTTGTTCTGTTCCACCCCTTTATATATCTTTTGCATAAGGCGGGAACCCTTTGTCCCTCTGGGTTTCCACCCCCTCTCACTGGAAAAGCACCAGGTTAAAGATGGATTCCAGTTCAGGTGACATGATCACATGTCACTGCAAGATTTCATTGCCCACTTGCCAGCACACACATATACAGGAAGACTCACAGGTAAATACAGCCATCTGCGGATAATGGTCCTTGTTAATGGGAGTCATCAAGATTCCAAACCATCATTAATGGCCTACACTTTACATAATTACAATAGGCCCTCAGAGTTATATTTTATATTTCTAGTTTTAGATACAAGAGTGGTACATTTATACAAATCAGATGATCATACTCAGTAGATTATAAGCTTTGTAATGATACCTTACAAGAGACCTTTTGCATGAAGCATATCCCAGTTACATTATACTCACTTATTACCATATTTTTCTAAAACTATCCCAGTTACATTATATTCACTTACTAACATGTTTTTATAAAACCATATAGACTGCACAACGTCACAGTAACATTTAATGTTTTCTAAATCACATGCTCTAGGAATTATTTTGTGGATGTTTATAACCATGTTATACACAGACTAGATGATCACAATGGTTCTGACCTTGGAATCTATGAACATTTTATTTTAAGGTTGTAAACTTCTTGGGGGGGAGAACCATATGTTTCTCCATTTTTGTACAACATGAAACCCACTATTACTGTGTAATATTACAGTTCTCAATCTTTTTCTTTCTGAGCCCCCCTCTCCCCCCAACATGCTATAAAAACTCCACAGCCCACCTGTGCCACAACAGCTGTTTTTCTGCATATAAAAGTCAGGGCCAGTGTTAGGGGTAGCAAGAAGGGCAATTGCCAGGGCCCCAAACCACAGGGGGCCCTGTGAAGCTAAGTTTCTCAAACTTCACCCATGAGTGGAGGGGCTTGGAACCCCAGGCTTCAGCCCCATGCGGTGGGGCTTCAGCTTTCTGCCCTGGGCCACAGCAAGTCTAATGCTGGCCCTGCTTGGCAGACCCCTGAAACCTGCTCAGGACCCCTGGACCTCTGGTTGAGAACCACTGTAATATTAGACTGCATATTGCCATCTCTGAATGGCAGTTCAGAGCACTTAATTCAAAACCTGAGTATGTTCATGAAAAGATGAATATATTGTACATCCTGCATGCCATTATGGTATACATTTTGACATGTACAAATTATATACACATCTAACCAGAAATAGAAAATATCACCTATGTACAACATAGCTAACATGGCAAGTGGAACTGTAACTTGTGCATTTCCTTGTGATCTTAGCTATGCCACTTTTATATGTCAGTGTAGATTTTTTGTATTTCATATATAATTTTTTTTTTAAAAAGAGAAACTGCCTGCTCTTAATGGTAACATTTAAATGGTCCCAAGTAGCCTTTGAAGATCTCATCTCATAGAGGTAAAGTGGTTTCCTACCTCTGTTACTTCTATTTATCTGGAGACCACTATCTGTTGAGTCTGGGTTATCAGAGCAGTAGTACACCAGTTGTCTTTGCTGTTTGATTCAGTTCTCATTAATATCACTGGTACAATTCCTGTTGACTTCAATGGGTGCTGGTTTTGGACTGGGCCCATTCTCTAAATAAATATTAGAATTTGTAGATTATTGTAGAATGTAGCAAATGTTAGAGACCCTGCAACAAGATGGGCTTCAGTGACCCATGCAAATGTGTGGGAGAAGGTTCTGCTGTGGTGGGTGGACACCTCAGATTCTCATGAGGGAACTTAGGAATGAAAATTGTAAAGTTGAGCTGAGGGTTGGAGAAGAGCAAATTAACATTTTAAAAGGTGTGATCTAGGGAATTACAGACCAGCAAGCCTTACATCTGTACTTGATCAATTGGTTGAAATGGAAAAAAAAAAAAATCTGCAAGATCATGATGTGATAGGGTCTAATATGGTTTCTGCAAAAGAAAATTGTCACTAATCTCTGAAGTCTTTGAATGTATCACAGTAATGGTTAAAGAAGAACTGCTTGATGTAGTTGGGTCCCCCCCCCCCCAAAAGGCTTTTGACAAGATTCCTCACAAAAGAAACTAACCAGTTGTGGGATGAGAGATAAAGGTTTGTCATGTATCCAGGGTGGGAATAAACAGTCAATTTGCATCATGGCTAAAAGTTAACAATAGGGTGCCTCAGTGTTCTGCACTAGATTTGGAAAAGGGGGATGACTAGGGATGTAATAATTTGCGGATGCCTAAGATAAATAATTGTGTGCCAATTCAGAAACAACTGTGAGAAACTTTGAAGCAACCTAAACAATGTAGATGAATGGGAAACGTGACAAATGAAGAACATTGTTGATTAAATGCAAAGTAATGCACAGTAAAGGAGGAAAAATAAATTACTCTGTATACATTATAGGCTTGTAAAAGGAACCTCACAGATCATCAAGTCCAGGCCCCTGAATATAAATCTATTAAGCTCCATCTTAAACCTAGTTAGGTTGTTTGACCCCCATAATTCCTAGGGGGAGGCTGTTTGCAGAACCTCACTCTACTGATAGTTAGAAATCTTCTTTTAAGTTCCAGCCTAAATGTATTCACAGCCAGTTTATACCCATTTGTTCTTGTGCCAACATTAAGCTAAAAGACAAACAGCTATTCTGCCTGCCTGGGGTTGACTCCTCGCTCCCCATCCCATGTATTTACCCAGTCAAGCTCCATGGATTCCCCATACAGTTGACATGTCAACTCTATTGGAAGAGAGCATAGCGGGGCCATAGGAGAGTAAATACAGCCCCAAGTGAGCCAGGTTTTGACTCACTTTTGACTGTCAAGCTTTACAATTTTCTACTACCCATGTCTTTTTGTTGGGTCTTCCTCAGCCCCTCCCCCACAGTTTTACTTGCTATTAAAGGGCCACTATCCATTTAATATCAATTGTCCCTGCAGCAGTCTGATAGTAACAACCTGTTGAATGCCAAGCCAGCTAACAGGTATATACAATAAAATTGAGCAGAGTGGGTTAGGATTTAACTATACCCTGCTAATATCTTAGTAGCTGCTGTCCAGAGACTTATGCACATATTTAACTTTATGCATGTCAGTAGTCCTACTGACTTTGATGGGACTACACACATACATAAATATTTGCAGGATCAGGGCATAAGCATGGTCAGTTAATGTTGTTTTTATCCTCTAAACCGGGGGTTGGCAACCTATCAGAAGTGGTGTGCCGAGTCTTCATTTATTCACTCTGATTTAAGGTTTCGCATGCCAGTAATACATTTTAACGTTTTTAGAAGGTCTCTTTCTATAAGTCTATAATATATAACTATTGTTGTAGGTAAAGTAAATAAGGTTTTTAAAACATTTAAGAAGCTTCATTTAAATTAAAATGCAGAGCCCCCCAGACGGGTGGCCAGGACCTGGGCAGCGTGAGTGCCACTGAAAATCAGCTTGCATGCCATAGGTTGCCTACCCCTGCTCTAAACCATCTCCAGCCTGCCAAGGTGCAAACGTGGGGGCAATTTGTGCTCTCACCCCCCCTTTAAAAAATCTTTTAAAAAGAAAATGTATTTTCCTACAATCCCATTGCTGCAGGGTGGCTGAAGGGATTTTACTGAAATCCTCTTCTCCCCCCAAAAAATCTTCAAGTCATACCATCTAGTGCCTGGTTGGGGACACTGGGTGTTTTTGAAAAAAAAAAGTATTATAAAAGAAATTGTTTTGCAACCTTGTTCCAGCTGTAATAAACACCCTTTTACCCGCATCAAAGAAATTGCTAACCGACTGCAGAGTAGATGACTTAATTCATGCCGGTGGTTAGTGCCAAGCGCTAGTATGACACGGGATTTGCGAGCAGCGTACTAACTCTTGCAGTGCATGCACAATACGTAGCTGTTCCCTTGGGGTTGATGGCTCATGCCTCCAGCCTCAAAGAGAAGGCAAGGGGATCCTTAAAGAGTTTTCTGCGGGGCGCGTCCTTCAGCGCGGTGAGATACTGCGGCTCCATCCCCAGCTTTAGCGCGTGCAGCAGCATCAAAGAAGCTCGGGGCGCCGGGAAAGGCTTTTAAAGTTGGGGAGGCAGCCGTCCCCGCCCCCCTGGCTACTTATTGGCCGGGCTGTGCTCATCATTTCCCCGCCAGGGAAAGGGAGGGGCTAGCGACGCCGCGGAGCTTGGCTGCTGCCGACTGCTCTGTACACGGGGAAGAAACGTGAGAGTGGCTGCTGAGCCAGAGAGAGTCGCGGCGCCTCGGTGCGCACACGGGCTCCGGGAAGCGCCAGGGGAGAGGAGAAGGACTTACTCCCCCAGCCGAGGAGCAGCAGCCTCCCCCGCCGCCTGTGATTTCTGCCCATGACAGCAGCATCTCTGCCCGCTCCTTTTTAAATTATTTTTATTTTTGCAAATTTGCGTAGAGTCTTTGTGTTTTGTGTTTGCTTTTTCTTCTTCTTCACGCCCCTGCCAAACAAAGAGAAGGGGGGGCCTCTGGGAGAAGACATGCGTTCCGTCAGGAAGAGGTGGACTATCTGCACGATAAGTATCCTCCTGATCTTTTATAAGACAAAAGAAATAGCAAGAACTGAGGAGCACCAGGAAACGCAACTCACGGGGTAAATGCAAAGCCTTGACTTGTAAGGATTTGACAAAGGAAAAGCAGCGTGTGAAATTTAAATGACTCAGGCTCTTTCTTACTCTCCTTCTCTTCTCCCCCCCCCCCATTTCCTTGGTTTTATATTCTAGCATCTATTTCAACTTTGCGTTTATAAGCGTGGTGATTGCTTTCATGTTCAAATGACAAAAGCAACCATCACTGCAGAATGGTCTCGCAATAAAGAGTTTGTCTTTGATTTTAGATTTAAGGAGAAAAAGTAAAGTGTGATCAGAGGTTTGTTAAATACCCCACGCCCCACAATGGTTGCTTTTTTTGCGCGCAGAAAGAGGCTGAAGGAAGCCGGTTACTTTTAAACGGGAAAGGGTTGATCAGTGTCGTGTAGTTTTGAAACGGGTGGCACATTAGGTTTGTTGTTTTTGTGATCTAGTCAATAACCCATTTTCTAAGAAGGTTAGATGGAAAAGGCTTTTTATTGAGGACTTGGGACACCTTTCTGGTGGTTACACGGGCCATAATAATAAAATCAAGTTATGTTTCCTTTCCTGGCTTGAGTGAGTGAGCAATAACAAGGAGCTGTCTTTCTGCCTTTGTTGCTTTGAAGTTTGTATAGCAGATTGTCATAACTTTGGTGATGGTTGTTATTGCTGGTACACTGTTCCTCGGGGATCCGAGAATAGACTATAAAATCCCCTTCACTCTTCAGATGTTTCCTCTTGCAAACCTTTTCTTGCACAGACCACCGCCTGTTTCTTTCTTCTCCCGATTTGTGATTAAAACAAAAGACAAAAGCTGTTTGCTGTCGTCCTCTTGGGCTCTTGGTTTATTTTCGTCTTTAGTTACTCCATTATTTTTTTAAACTTGAAACTAACGTGAAGAAGCTGGTTTCTTAGCCAAGTCTTTGTTTCCGTCCACCAGAGATGATTGTCAGTTTTTTATTCTGTCATGATTTCTTTTTAAAGAAAGCCATGGACTGCAGAAATGCGATAACGCAGCGGAATTTTATTCTTGGTTTTATTTATGTCACCAGAAGCGTAAAATCGATTTTTTGGAAGCATTCGCAGCGGGTTTTTATTCATGAATGTTTGCACACGCCCAGAGCTCATTGGTTTGGAGGCGCAATATAAATGCAAAGCAGGGTTACTTATTGTGAGGGTTCATTGGGAGTGGGCGGAGAGGAAGAATAGGAGATCCCCAATGAATCATTTACAGGAAGGAGACAGCTCCCTAAAGGGTGCATGGCAAACCTCTACCCAGTACACGTGCCCCCTACGAAGGTGCCATGTGTGAACGCGGTGGGGCTGTGGAGGTATTACCTAGAGGGGGCATGGCCCTCTCCGTATGTGCATTTCTATTCATGCGTACAATATGGTTCCGTTACCCATGTGCGGCTGGCGTGGCTGGGAAGGAGGGTGTGTGCATATGTGCGCCCCGGAGGATGGAGAGCCAGCCGGTGGCTGGTGTGCGTCCTTCTGCTCCTCACTGCCAGCCTGCCAATGCCTCGGAGAGGTTTGGTCCAGCCGCTGGCGGGCACAGCTGTGCTAGTGTGAAGGAGGCGATTGCATCGCTGCCCCAAGCTCCTTTTTATGCTGGAGGGAGGCGAGTGCATCGACCCTTCCCCACCCTCATCTCTAGCATCCCGTTTCCAAGTTCCTTGACAGGTAGCTATGCTGGAAGGAAGCCAGTGCATCGCTTCCCCCTTCATCCCGACCAGGGTCCCTGACAAGCAGCTGTGCTGCTGGAAGGAGGAGCGGACATTGCACCGCTGGAGCGCCTCGCCTGCTCTCCCTATGCCTGGTTGCAGGGACCATGACAAGCAGCTGTGCTCAGCTGGCAGAAAGGTTGCTGCCGGCGGGCTGGAGCAGCTGCAGCAGCAGCAGCTCCAGGCAGGCTTTGTGGTTGCCTCGTACGTAGCGTATCTGAAAATTTGCATTGCGAGCGTTTCGCTGCAGGTCGACAGGAAAAGCGCTGCCCATCTAGTTCAACTGCTGAGCCGAGCCTGAGCCTCAGCAAGAGGCAAAAGAACGGAGCCTTTGTTAGCGCAGGCAGGTTGCCCCGGTCCCCGAAAGGAGCAGGCACAGTTCAGATAGCAGGGCTCCTCCTCCTTCATTAACTCCACTAATTACAGAGCTGGGGGGCCAGGCAAATTGTTTCACTTCTGCCAGGCTGCAGCGAGCTTGTTTCTTGTCCTGCTTTTTCCCTCCCTTTCTTTTTTCCTTCCCAGCACAGAGTTAAGCCTGGGAGCCCCTTTGTATTTTATATGTATCACCTTTATAAAGGGACACATACCTGGGCTATAACTTTTTCTGTCTTGCTGCAATTTGGTATATTAAAATCTCAGGTTTAGTATAGTTTCTTTACAAATGTAGGTATTATAGATACACACTTCACACTCAACTCCTTTTCCCATTTACACAGGATCAGGGGTGCCCACAATCCCTCCCCGCTCCTTTTGGACCATATCTTGGAGTTCCTTTCTCTTCAAACTTCTCTTGATGTCTTTGTATGTATATGTATATATATTTAAAGCTAAATGTTTTAGTTGTGTTCCCAAGAAGACATTTCAAACTAACTAGCCTTCTTTCTCACTAGCTTATTAAAGATAAACACGTCTCCAAATAAATATATATGTTTATATAAATATAAACATGTATCCTAATACAAGTGCTTTTTGGGGCACATATAACTGAAAGTATTTAAAATCAGTTAGAAAGTAGTCCCTAACTGTTGTAATAAGACATCAAACCGGTGTCTTCGAGTCCATGATTTTTAGTGTCTAGCAAAGTTATGAATTTAAGCTTCTAGGTTTGTCTCTTTGAAGGTGGTGTGTAGGTTTCCTTTGAGGGTCAAGAACTGTTTTCACCCACATAGTTCTTGTTGCATTTGATGCCCTGCATGAGGTATACCATGATAGACATATGTAAGACCTATGGAACTTGAAAGGTGTGTTGTTGGGGTGTTGATAATCATAGCAATGGAGTTCTGTGTTCCGGTTTTGCATCTGTTGTTCTGGCAGGGTCTGGTGCTGCTTTGAATTGGTGTATCCTGGTTTGTGGGAAGCTTGCTTCTGATGATTTTGGTGAAGTTGGGGGTTTGTTTGAAGGCCAGAAAACAGGGGTCATGAAAGATTTCTTTCTGGAATCATATTGGGCCATATTTTATCCAAAATTAATTGTTTGGTTCATTGATATTAATGGATATTGTATATGGCCAGAGAGTTTAATATATCTCCAAAGTCAGGAGAGTCAGCATCAAGGTTGATGCTTTCAGTCCTAAATTGCCCTTTGTCTTTAAGTGGATTTCCCACTACATCAGTTGTAGTTCCACACAAATCTGGAAGGTAGAATGTGGCCCAAATGATTTGTTATACTTGTCAGACTATTTACACAAAGAAAAATTTCCGGGTGTTTGGCACACATGCTTAGTTTTATGTAAAGGTAGCTTTTTCTCTGGTGTATTTACTGATATATCGGGGTAAAGAAGGGATAAGGAGAGCACTTTTATAAGTAAGCAAAATTCTACTGCATTTGGAGTAGAGCTTTAATGCAGAACATTTGGGACTTTCAGCTCCTGAAAACATGTTTTTTTTAAAGTTGTTTTATTGCATCATATTTGTAGTTTGTTGTAGCTGTAGAGTACATCTTGAAGACTCAAGTCAACCACATTTCAAATGGTAGAGTACTTTTTAGGTACAAGTTACTTAATTAATTGCTAATTCTGTCATGTATGCCACTGTGTGAAAGTGCTTAATGGATTACTCTTAGCTCAGCATAAACCAGAATCCTCTCCAATGTATTGTTATACGGTATACTTTCCTTGATTTATTTTGTTAATTTTCCTTTAGACACATGTACTGTATTGTGGTGTTGGACAAATATATGCCGTAAATATGTTCACTACTGTTGTAAAGAAATTTTACTGCCTGTGGAGTCGCAAGGGAATGGTTAAATGAATTCTGATTGAGATCTTTCCCATAGAACATATGCAGATAACTTTCATTGACACTAATGGGATTATTCCACGTGGACTTTTGCAACATCCTCCTATCCACTTCAAGTTAAAATAAATAGAATAATTTGCATAAAGGTGCCAGACCTGTAAAATTACTCAGTTGGTTTTTCAGTAGGTGGCATCTTACCTCGGAATTAGTACTACATCAATGCCTCAGCATGATAGCAATGGGGCACGGGGTTGCTAGTAATGTCTTTTTGATGAGTTGTGAAACCGTGTTTGGCCACTTATTGGCTCTTTAGTGACCATGACTTTTTTGAAATGCTACCCAAATTTTAGTTTAGGTAATTACATTCAGCCTAACTAAAATCCCACTGCAGTTTAAATTCGATTGGCTTCATCACCATAGACTAATCTGTTTTGTACTGTTTGAATACTGCCAAATATTATTTTTTTGTAGTGCTTAAGAGCCCTCATTATCAACCAGGATCCCATTTGTTCTAGGCGCTGTATAAACCCAGAACAAAGACAGACTCTGCCCCAAAGAGCTTACTGTCTAACAGCTAGCGTGTTCCATTTATTTGCTTTGAGATCTATTGATGAAAAGCTCCATACTAGAGCCAAGTATTAATTTGATTATTTATGTATTATTTCAGAGGTGGCTGCATTTCCTTAGTAGGCAAAGCGATTCCTGTACGTAGTTGGTAAAGTAATTTGAAATGCTATTGGATGAAAGGCACTCTAACTCTAAAATATTATTATCCAGTAAGGATTAAAGCAGTGATTCTCAACCATTTGGGACTCAGGATCCATTTGTAAATCTTGATGGCCTGTCATGTCCCAGCAAATAGATTTAGCACAACAAATAATCTGGTTTACTAACTATTTCTTACTCCCGATATATAATCTACACATTAATGTAATAAGTACTACATATGTACACCAGGTGTACCATAGCGGCTGCTCCTGTCCTGTGGGGCTGGCTGTGTTTTGCTTCCTGCTCTGAGTGTTGTGGTCTCTGGAGTTTCAGTGCCGCTCATGTTTGGTCCAGCCTTCCTGATTGGAGGGGTGGGGGACATTTGGAAGGGGGCGAATTTCTGTGAGTGGGATTGTGAACTGGCACATGGGGTCGCAGTGCCAATCAAATTTGGCTGAGTTGGCCCCTTGTCATCATGATGGCATGGCCAGCCGAGAGTGGTGTTGCAATCCCATGCACTAGGACCAAATCTTCCCCCCCACCAGGCCTTGCCACAACCTTTCAATACATTCTGGTGACCCAATTTTGGGTCATGACCCACAGATGGAGAAACTCTGGATTAAAGAACCTCAAGTTTGAACTCAGGGAGCCAAATTTTGTCTCTTGTATCTGTGTGCTGGAGTCAATAGGATTACCTACAAGAGAGAAGAATTTAGATTTAATATTATTCTTGCTATTTTTATTTCTAACCTTTTATGTGTCCTATTAGATTTGTGTGATTCTTTGGCCCTCAAGCTTCCCACAGACCAGGACACACCAATTCAATTCAATAATTGCAATTATTATTGTCTGATTTTTAATTACAATACCTCTGTACATGTTCATGATCATCAGCCACCACTTCCTCTAGTGCACAAGGTTTTTCCACCTAAAAAATGTCCACATCTGACTCTGCTTAGTATGTAACTATGATAAGATTATTCTTTGATGCTATATGGCTGTGTGAAACGTGTGTGCAGAAGTTCCTAAAAATCAAGCTTAAGTTACTGTGGGTGTATTCCCCCCCTTGTTCCAAACTTGTACGGAAAATCCATGAGCATATCAAGGAAGAATATGCCCCAGTAGCTTGAAACTCCACATATGGGGGACTTGTAATATCATTGGGAGTCAAAAGAATTGATGGTGCCCAGCACATGCATGATAACTGAGAAATTGTGGGGGGGCTGAAAGCTAAAACTTAGTGCATAGCTTAATAGTTGATGGGAGAATGTGATGTACCAGGAGTACAGGTTCTGGCCCACATCTGGTTAGTTTGAGCCCACATTCACAATAAAAAGCTTCCTCTGTATTTAAGGTATATGATTTAAAATAACTTAAATGCAATGTAATTAGAGTTTGTATATTTTTCAGATTAAGCATTTCCTTGTATCTAAAATACCATTTTGTTAGGTGGAATTTATTTTTTTGAACATGTAAAATGAGTGGAGATGGGGGAGAAATTCTTGCTGCTTTGCCTCATGGATATAAATAAACCCCCACTAGTTTTTTGTGATGTGTAGAAAAAGCATCCCAGCAGCCCCAACCTTACCTTAATGGTGTCTTTTCCGTATTGCATTTCAGAGATGGTGAGTTGAGTTTGAGTAGATCAATGCTCAATAGCTCTGATAAAATAATTCAAAAGAGTGGCTCTTCAATCTTTCAACATTCTGTAAAAGGCTGGAAAATCAATTCTTCTTTGGTCCTGGAGATAAGGTGAGTGCCTTGAATAACACACAGTTAATTTCATATTACTATAGCCTATAATTCTCTGGGTCTAGCAAACTTCTCTAGAACTCTTGATTTACAGTTTAAAGGTAGCTGTTGCTTAACAAAATACGGTGTTAGTTCTATTTAATGTTACACGGTGAATGACCTGACACCCTGAAAAGAAGTAATACTTCCATCCTCATGTATAAGAATGAATAAAATGGGAGCTTTAAATAACTATGATTGCGCTTTGTGAGGGAGTAAAATAGTAGTAATATGTACACTTTGTGCAGTTTCCTTTTTTCCGTTAAGTTACTTGAGGCCAGAATGTGCCTGACACTAGGGTGGTCATACCATGCAGTAAGAGGAAGCCACAACCTCTCTATGGTTACAGCAGGGCTTTCTGGACCTTGGGACCCAGCATGGGGGCTAAAGGAAGGGAGAGCAGAGGGCTGTGGGTATGGTACTTCCTCCCCGTGTCAAGCAAGCAGGGATCAGAAAGGGTAGGGAATCTGTGGAGCCTTGGCTAGCAGAATTGAGCCAGTAGGCGTGGTGGAATATGCTATATCCAGTGAAGGACTGTGGCAAATTTTCTCTCTCTGTGTTGGGGCAGCAGGGAAGTCTATGTACTGGCCCATATTTGGGTCATTGAGCAAAAATTCAGTCTAGTACTTAAAGTGGGGCATCTGTGCCCTTTCTATGTAACCATTTCCTTTTTTAAGGGGCAAATCCTGAAGTCCTTAATCAGGTAAAACTCCTATTTATACAAGAGTAGATTGCCTGAGGTTTAGTAAGGACAGCTGTATTGGGCCCAATGTTTTTTGTCTTGAATACTAAAGCAAAGAGAAGATATTAATAGCTCAATGATAATTAGCATGTGCAAAGTTGTGGTAAAAGGAGTCTGTGGGATACTTATGACTCTGGAGACTTGGGAAAGCTTATGCTGTGAGTGACCTCAGTGCCTCACCATTATAACAATTACTGAACAGCAATTGGGATGACTTGCATTTCAGTGACTTCATTGTTTTTTAAGGAAATAATGATTTTAAATTAAACATGATTCATAAATTGAGCTACATCACATATTAATTATATTGATTACTGAAGAATTCCCAGTTATCACTCTGAGGTTTGACAGGTTCTTGTCCCAAGATCAGGCCCAGTATTAAAATTACTGTTTAGTTGGGAACCCCGATGTGCACAGTTACAAATATTTCCTGAAGTATGAATGTTGTAATTGTGACCTGCTAAATGTATTCATAAACTACTCTAACCCTGCATTATTTTTATCTGCCTTGCTGAATGTACATCTGAACATCCATATACTCGCACCATCCCTTGCAGAACAACCCAAAATGTTTGCCATTATCTTGCTCATCACCATCTTCCTCATCACCAGTGGCCATCATCCTGGCACCTCCCAAGGGCTACATCTCTCCCTTCCCAAGCACACAGGCTGGGATACAACTTTTATGTTACGCTGATGCCACTATCTCTAATGCATATTCAGTCGGGGTTTCTCCCCTCTTCCTTATTTGTATTTCCTCACTCTACTAATTTTGAGGTGCCCTTTTCCTATAGGTTAGTATATAAATGATCTCAACTTACTATCATATACCTCAATTCATTGCCCGTGACACTCTTGTGGTCCGACATCTGCAGATGTTCCCATCCTAAAATATCAAAAGCTGGTGTTAGCTCAAGTTCCTGTGGTTGGCTGGTGTTATGGACAAACTTCCCCCTTAAATACACTCTATTCCGGGTTCCCCAAAACTTAGGGATGACCTGTTAGGCCATTTATCTGCACCCAAGTTCATAGGCCTCAAGCCTTATGCTAATTGCTGAAGCCAATGTCTTACAGGATACAGGCCTGTAGGTTCCTTGCATTATTGCTGAAAAAAATAAATGCTAAAGCTAGCTCTACGGGCTACAGTGATCAGTAAATGAACTCTAAAGTGAGACCTTTAACCTTCAACAAATACTTGGTCCCATTCTTCTTTCAGTTACACCAGTGTAAATTTGGAGTAAGTCCAGTGATTTTACTTACTCCAATTTTATGTTGGTGGGACTGAGCAGAAGTAGCACCACATGTGCTTTCTCAATTTAGTCCAGATTTTGCATCTTTACTAGTACTGAGTTGTACCTTAATGTGTGAGTGGTCCCACTGAACTCTGGGGGGGTAATGGGCAGAGTAAAGTACTGCTTACAAATAAGGGTGGCAAAATCTATCTCAAGCTACTTTTTGCTTCTATTAGTACTCTGGAGCCTATATGACTCGTGCATAGTTGTTAATAGCTAAATTTTGCTCTAATTTACACCTAATGTAAATCAATGTAATTCCTATATCAATGGGATTATTTCAGGTTTACATGGATGTAATTGATAGAACAATTTGAAGTGGGGAAGGTGAGTGAGCTCAAAAGAACACCTCTTGACTTTCAAATCCTAGGTTGTTGGGCTGGCAACTTAGCAAAATCATTGTTTTACTTGCAAACTGAGCATATTTGCTATGGAAGTAATTGAGAGAACATAATTATGAAACCCAGTAATACCCCTTTTTAGTCACTTTCCAAAATGTAACCATTTAAAACAAATCTATCTGGTTGTGCAGGGCAAACCATAAGTGTGACCTTTAGCACTGTAGTAAGTATTTAGCTTACAGGTTACAGAAGGAAGCACAGCATGTCATACAGTTGACAAACTTAATTTTCCCCAGTTTCAAGAAAGCAAAATATAACATTAAGACAAGGAGAACAAATGTTGAAGAGTGTCAGATAAATGCTCCAACGCCTGTTTCTAGAAATGTATCTCACACACTATCTTTACACTTTTCAGAAGATTTTTGGTAGTTTAAAGAAAACCATTGTAGAAACAATTGAGACAATGCAGATACAGCAGAAACAAAAATAACATGTTACTAAGAGAACTTTTTAAAATACTTTGGGCATGTCTTCACTATGGAGCTAAATCGGTGTTGCTACAATTGATGCAGCAGCATCAAGTTAGTGGGTTTGGTGAAAACTTGCTAAATCAATGGGAGAGCGTTCTCCCACCTATTTCTGTACTTTGCCTCCCCAGGAAGAGTAAGGTAAGTCGGTGGGAGAGTGTCTCCCATCGACACAGCATGGTGTAGACGCTGCGGTAAGTGGATCTAGCTACATTGACTTCAGTTATGTTATTCATGTAACTGGAGTAGTGTAGCTTAAATCAGTTTACTGCGGTAGTGTAGACCTGGCCTTTGTTAGAGTAAGTATTAGAAATTACACAATGGCTTATTAAAATGATGATGTAGGCTATGGTGTCATCCCAGGAACACATGTGAAGAAGAGCACATGCTTTCTCTTAGTATAAGTAGGAAATATTCCACTACACCAGTGTGAAGACTTGCAATAGCTGCTGAAGACTAAATGGCTCCTCACTTTTTGAGCTGTAGTGGTAATGAACATGAGCATCAAGTCGTGGAAGTGGAGGATCCAACAGAAGCTTTTAGCTGAATATGACTTAGGGCCACATCTTGCCCTAGTTCTCAATGCAAGGGGGATCAGGGATGCTGGCAGATGCATCTCCTTTCCAGTAGGGTTACCATATGTGGAGTGTCCCAAAAGAGGACACTCCACGGGGCCCCGGCTCCGCCCCCCGCCCCGCCCACGCCCCCGCCCAAACTCCGCCCCCTCCCCCAAAGTCCCCGCCCCAACTCTGCCCCCTCTCCTGCTTCCCGCGAACATTTGATTCGCGGGAAGCAGGCAGCAGGTAAGGGGGGGGAGGGAGGGAGGTGAGGCGGCGCGGGCCAGCCCCCGGCCGAGCACCCCCCGGCCGCCCAGCTCCGC